TCAGCAGGAGAGTGTAGTGTCACCAACTGATAATGTGATTTGGACCCAAGTAAGAGAGACCTGAAATGGAGGACAGAAGGGTCAATGCCACCCCCATTCCACTTGTGAAACTCCTCGTTTTCCTTCAAGATGCAGCCCACACATTACCTCCTCTTTGAAGCTTTCCTGAACCCTTCTGGCTGAGTTACTCCAGCCTCCAGCCACTGCGTTCTTGTGACATCTTCTCCATTTCACATGATCATGTTCCCATCTGTCACCTCCATTGGAATGTAGCTCCTCCCGAGTAGTGACGTCATAGTGACCTTTATATCCCCAGCAGCCAGCACTGTGCTTGGCACATAGTAGGTGCTCACAAAATATTTGTAGCTGAATGAATGCAGTTGGTCCCGACTTCCCTCATTTTCTTGCCTAAGCCTGGAGCTAAGGTGGGTGAACCTTCAGAGCCCTTCCAGAGGCAGAGAGGTGAGCCAGGCCAGGATGGGGGGAGGTGGGTGCCTCCCTTCCACAGCTTCCTCAAGAATATGTGTGTAGAACCTTGCACCAGGAGGGCTGGAAGGCACCCAGAGTATCTAGAGGACGAGGAGATGGCCTTGGGCAGGATACAGTGACACGAAACTTTATTCACTGAACAAACAGGTATCAGGTTTTGTGTCAACATGTGCCAGGCCATGAGTAAGGTTCAGTTCCTATTCTCATGAATCTCACAGGCTTAGGCAGACACAGACTGTGGTTATGACAGTACCGTGGGACAGGTGCTGGGATGGGGGGAGCACAGGGCACCACGGGAAGAACATGGAGGACAGGACCTGGGACATATGGCAGGAGAGGGTGGCAGAGCTGAGCGCCGACTGTGGGGCAAGCTGCGTGGGGAGGAGTCACCAGGTCTCTGACAGCTGGAGCGGGATGGAGGTGGCGCTGCTTCCTCCCCTCTCTCAGGAGGGGCGCTATTTGGGGTGTAACTGGCAGGGGCCTCCCTAGCATCTTCCTTGAAGCATATGCCTGACTCCCAGGCACTCGGAATGTTCCTCCACAAACAGACAGGCTCTGTCTCACCTCCGGCAACCACTAGCGACACTGCCTGACCCTATAGTGGCCACAGTCGATGGAACCCACAGGATCTGACCCTCTATTCCTCTCGCTCGACTCTGTCACCTCACCTCACCTCTCCTAGGAAGCCCAAGAGGCTCACGGTTGGTCGACATAAGCCCACGAGACATAAGCTCTACCTTGGTATAAATAAAACCCACCTTAATGGACTTGAGGACACGGGGAGCGGGGAGGGCAAGCTGGGACAAAGTGAAAGAGTGGCATGGACATATATACACTACCAAATGTAAAACAGATAGCTAGTGGGAAGCAGCCGCATAGCACAGGGAGATCAGCTCGGTGCTTTGTGACCACCTAGAGGGGTGGGATCGGGAGGATGGGAGGGAGGGAGATGCAAGAGGGAAGAGATATGGGGACATATGTATATGTATAACTGATTCACTTTGTTATAAAGCAGAAACTAACACACCATTGTAAAGCAATTATACTCCAATAAAGATGTTAAAAAAATAAAAAATAAAACCCACCTTAAAAAAGAAATAAGAATCTCCGCTGACAATTTTATTACTACTGATGGCATTTTTTATTGAAGCAAAGAATTTAACAAAATATATAAAATATATATTTTAAAAAATCACAGATGGACAACAGATTTACAGAATTGCTTTTATAATCATCCAGGAAAAAATGACAGTGTTTACTTACTAGTAAACTGCATTTGGGTAAGACCGGCCACTGGGTCACAAGACCCAAGCAGCCAGGACACTGCCTGAGCTCTTAGGAACAGAAGAAATAATCGACCAACAGGGGAGAGGCTGTGGAAGGGGGCAGCAGGACAGCCCAGCCAGCAAAGCAGAGGCGGCAGCCCAGCCAAGTCAGGAACGGGCAAGGTCACGGCAGGGGTTTGGTATCAGGAAACAGAGGTGGGCACGTCAGTTACTCTGGTCTTGAGAGGAATCACTGTGATCTGAGAATCCAGGACCAGCTGCAAACTAGCTCCTGTGTGTGTGCTCACATGCATGTGTGTTCATTTAAATTATCTCCCACTTAAATCATGAAACTAGCAAGTGGGTTTGGGTGGGAGTCATCTTTGTGTCCACAATCCCATCAGGGAGACCAGAGAGCAGAAGGCCCAACCTACCAAAGCAGTTTCCCCAATTAAGCTGGATTGAGCACCCGCTAGGAGTGCTAGGAGGGCTGCCGGCTGCGAGGACTCTGGGGAAAGCAGAGTGAGTGAGGCCTATGTCCTGCCCCCTGGAGCTCACACTGTAACACAGGGGGAGAGACATGCTCAGACAGCTGTGCCATGTGGCCCGTGATGGGTGTGGGACAAAGTAACAAGATTGTCTCCATCTGTGTGGGAGGTTATGATGGGATTATAGAATTCACTGGGATCTGAGATGGGCCTGGAAGGACAGGTAGGATTCGACAGGCAGAGATGGGAGCTGCATAGGCATTCCCAGCCAAACAGAGAAAGCAAAGCCCCATGAGGGAGTGTGCAGTGGGAGCTGGGGTGGCCCTTGCAGGGAGCATCTGGAATGTTCAGGAAAGTTGCGGGAGATGCGGCTGGAAAGGGAGCTTGAGGCCAGCCCAACGTGGGTCCAAAGCGCCAAAGTTGCACAAATGAAGGGACTCCTTTACATACTCATTCATTCTTTCATTCATTCAACAAAAATGTATTGTGCACAAAACCTCTGCCAGGAGTCATTCCCCTGGGTGCTAGGCGCACAGGTGGAGAGGGCAACTCCGGCCCTCCGGAGGCTGGTGTCACCCCCACGGAGCGGGACAGGAGCGCCACGGGGAGGTGGAGGCCGCTGCCTAGTCCAGGGTGAGGGTAGGGCCCTGAGCCGGGCACAGCAATGGGAGGGCAGCTTCGAAGGTGAGCGCCCTTGACAAGCTCAGCCACAAGTGAGATCTCCTTGGCCAGGCCAAGCCAAGTCCTCCAGCAGCCGACATGGGGGAAGAAGCATCCCATCAATGACTGGGACCAAGGGTCAGAAAAGTGGGGCTTGGAAAAGACAGGGGAGGCATGGAGGCGGGGGGATGACCCCCTAATGCTCCCCCTGACCCCCTCCTGCAGCAGGCCCTGGTCATCGGCCAGCCTGGTCAAGGGACTCTCGGCTGGGGCCCCTCTGGCCTTCATTCCTGTAGTCACCCTCGCCCTCCTCTTCCTGTCTTCTGGAAAGCTCTGTCAGCTGCTCTGGTGGCTCCTGGTAGCCCGCCCGATTCCTGCAGGCAGTGAGGACAGAGGAGAAGGGTTTGCCCTCACTCACTCAGACCTGAGGGAGCTGGGCTTAGTGCTCCCCATGCGACAGCCATCAGATCCCCCATCCCCACCCGTCCAGCAGCAAAGGGACACTGGGCTGAAGGGCTGGGCTCAGAGCGGAAGCAGGGTGGCACGGACTTGAGCTAAGGGCATTATGGGAACAGGCTGGCTCTGCGAGGGGAGCAGAGAGCGGCCTGCTACGGAGCCTCCGCACCCCCCTACCCCTGCCCTGGGCACCCACCGGAAGCCCCACCCTGAGATCAGAGACTGGAGAACTACGGGCCTTGGAGTCAAGTTCCGGACTGCAGTGCCACTTTAGGATTTGGGTGAATCATTTACTCTTTTCTCAGCTATAAAATGGGGCTGATAAAAGTTATTTTTTACTGTTACCAGCTGCCCCCTGGGGTGTTATGAGTGGAAGAGGCTGTGAAGAGCTGGGGTGCATCTTCCCAATGTGCTGAGACCCTTGCCAACAGGCTGCCCACCCCTGACACTCACGGCCGCGTGACGTCCGCATCCTCAGCCTTGCCAGTCTCCCGGCAGCAGCAGCAGTAGACGATGATGCCGATGACGATGAGTGCCGCAGCCACGCCCCCCGCGATGCCCGCGTACAGGGCCACATTCATGGAGGCTGCGAGAAACACAGCCGCACGTCCTGAACCCCAACCCCAGTCCCCAACGCGAGCCCCCAACACGAGCCGAGGCTCCGGGTGGTGAGCACGCCGGGGATGAGGAACCACAGCAGCAGGCGTCTGGGAGGCGGGAGGTGGTCCCTCCCAGGCTCTGGGCGGGCCCCCGTCATCCTCCCAGCCCAGGTGGCCGCGCTGCCTGCTTCTGGTAGCACTCCATGAAAGTCACAGCCTCGTGGGAATGTGACCAGACAAGGGGGATACTCTTCAGGATGGAAGCGTTGACAAGGACAGATGGCCAACAGATTTGGAGCCAACAGACTCCAAAAAAGTCCTCGGGTGTCAGTCATGCCAGCTCCTACTCTAGTTCATCCCCAAGATCATCAGGGTATCCCACCCCAAAATGATGGGGTCCTGACTCTGTGGTAGCCCAGTCTGGGCACTTCCCCCTTGCCCCCTGAGCGACCCTAAGGGCAGGCAGGACTGAGCAGGTCTCCAGAAGCCAGACTAAGGCGCTATTTCCAAAGAACCCAGGGAACTGGACTGGCCTCCAGATGAGGGGAGCCTGGGACAGGATCATCTGGCCGTCACCTCAGCCACCCTGCCAATGGGAGACGCCAAAGAGGCTGCCCAGTCCACCTCCATGTTGGTCCCTGTCAGCTGACTCTGGACCACCAGCCAGTCACCTCTGGCATTCGTCCTCCCTTCCCCCCCAGACTGCTCTTACGAGGTCTGACAGCCACAGTGATGTTGCAGGACTCCATCCCTACATCATTGCTGGAGGTGCAGATGTAGTAGCCCGACATTTCTGTGGAGATGTTCTTCAGAGAGAAGATCTGTCCTGTGACTGAGAAGGGAGAGGAGTCAGGCTGAGGAGACGGGCCACCAGAGTAGAGCGAAACGGCTAGGGAAATCCTAGGCAGATACAAGCACTGCCACTGAACGTGTCCAAGCATCATCTGTAATATGGAGAAAATATCTACCTCTAGGGTTGCAGAAAGATTAAACCAGGCAGGCTGCACAATTCTAAAGTGCTTAGAATTCAGGCAGGCACCCTGGGTTTGAAGCCTGGTTCTGCCACTTATTAACTTTGTGACTTTGGGCAAGGAACTTAGCTTCATTGAACCTGTTTCTTTATTTATAAATAAAATAATAATAGTGCCTGCCTCACAGAGTAATTGTGAACATAAAACAAAGCACTAACAAATACAAACCCACAACCAAATGGCTGATGTGTATATAGTAAGTCTTCAGGAAACATAATATACATTATACATTGCGTGGAAATGCTTTCTAATTAGACCATATAATTATAACCACTTTTATAATCTTCAGAAACAGAATTCCTTAGCTTGGACTCATGTGAAAGAAGGCTTTAGAACTTCAAGAACTCTGACCTCTGGATTTCTCTGCCATTAGTGGTGTGTGTGAGTGTATGTGGTATTTGTGTGTGTGTGTGGGTGGGTGGGTGTGTGTGTGTGTGGTGAGGCAGGGAGGAGGCAGGCTGTCGATCTAGACTCTTCCTCTTCCACCACTTAAGTAAGCCATTTAACTTCTGTGAGCCATAGCTGCCTCATCTGGAAGTGGGAGGGAAAGCACCTAATTCTCCTGAATTCAGGGCAATGGTCCAGATGTCCTCATGAGAAATCTTCCTGCTAAATCTATGATCCTATGGATTTCTTCACCTTGAAATGGAGAGCTTTATGCTTAGACAAATTTTTATGTCCTGTCCTCAAAGATGCTCTGTCATAACTGCTGTTTGGAGAGAAGAGTTAGAGACCTTTGTCCTCTAATTTGCTGCAGAGCCTGCCTACCCCACTATAAACAGGTGGTTACACTTCATCCAGAGGAGATGTTCTAAACTGAAAATAGGATCCAGCCACTGCCCTGTTCAGACATTTCAGAGGCAGCCCATCATCTTCAATAACAAGTCCAGGCTTCTTAATATGGACGTGACATTACAGATCTGGCCCTGGAAATCACTCCAGCTTAACCTCTTGCCAGTTAGCCTGGTGTCCAATCCTTTCCCTGCCCAATTCCACTCTGTTGCAAGATTGTATCTCGGTGTGGATTTTTCTTGTCTGGATGTGCTTCCTCAAATACAATGCCCTCTGATTCTTCCAACAATTTTGTATGGTAGATGGAACAAATATTTCTATCTCTAATATCATAGTGGTAACTGGAGGCTTAGAAAAGTCAAGTGACTTGCCCAAGGTCACAAAATTAAGAAATGACAAAACAGTAACAAAAATTCCATTTTAGGTCTAGAACTCCCTGGAGAAGTTGACAACTTACTTTAAAAAAATTATAGAAAAGAGAACAGAGAGGGTGATAAGGAGAAGAGCATTCCAGGACCTTCCAGATCATAGATGAAGAAGAAACACAGTTCATGAGTAAGTGCCCTGTTGTGGTCGCCAAAAGCACACCACAGAAGAGGACGTGGATCCAGGTGTCCTGCAGCACCACCTGCAGGAACAGGCTGTGTGATTTTAAAGGCTAGCATCGTACAGAAACACATCATTTATTTTCAAGATGAGGGCTCCCTAACCAAGAAACTTTGTGAACAAAATTCCATATTTGATGGGGTGACAAAAAAACCTATATTACACTGCTGAGCCTGTGGAACTGCCAAGTACAGACTCACATTTTATGGGAATTGGTCTGAGAAGACACACCCAAAGGTGTGCTTATCCACATATCCACATCTATAGTATGAATGAAATTGGGCTTCTGGTTGGAGACAAGATGGCAGAGTAGATGGACTTGAGCTCAACTTCTCTCACAAAAACACCAAAATCACAACTAACTGCTGAATAACCATCAACAAAAAAGACTGGAACTTACCAAAAAAGATATTCTACAACCAGAGACAAAGAAAAAGCCACAACAAGATGAGGTTCTCCCACAGGAGTGAGTTCTGAGCCCCACATCATGCTTCCCAGCCTGGGGGTCTGGCATCAGGAGGAGGAGGCCCCAGAGCACTTGGCTTTGAAGGCCAGTGGAGTTTGATTGCAGGAACTCCATAGGACTGGGGGAAATAGAAATGCTACTCTTGGAGGGTGCGCACAGGTCTTGTGTAAACTGGGACCCAGGGAAAAAGCAGTGATTTCATAGAAGCCTGGACCAGACATACCTGCTGGTCTTGATGGGGGGGGGGGGGGGGGCCAGAGGTACTGGGGAGTACTCATTGGTGTGAGATCTCCTGGAGGTCGCCAATTTGTCACCAAGACCCAGCCCCACCCAACAGCATGTAGGCTCTAGTGCTGGGACGCCTCAGGCCAAACAACCAACAGGGCAGGCACACAGCCCCACCCATCAGCACACAGGCTTCCTAAAATCTTCCTGAGCCCACAGCAACCTCTAAACACACCCCTTGATACAGCCTTGCTCACCAGAGGGACAAGACACAGTTCCACTCGCCAGTGGGCAGGAACCAGTCCCTCCCACCAGGAAGCCTGCACAAACCTCTAGAACATCCTCACCCACCAGGGAGCAGACACTGGAAGCAAAAGGAACTACAATCATGCAGCCTAGGCAATGGAAATGGCAAAGGAATATGTTTCAGATGAAGGAACAAGATAAAACCCCAGAAGAACAACTAAGTAAAGTAGAAATAGGAGGTCTACCTGAAAAAGAAGTTAGAGTAATGAGAGTGAAGACAATCCAAGATCTCAGAAAAAGAATGGAGGCACAGACCAAGAAGATAAAAGAAATGATTAACACAGAGCTAGAAGATATACAGAACAGACATGAATAATGCAATAACTGAAATGAAAAATACACTAGAAGGGATTAATAACAGAATAATTGAGGCAGAGAATGGATAAGTGAGCTGGAAGACAGAATGGTGGAAATCTCTGCCATGGAACAGAATAAAGAAAAAAGAATGAAAAGAAATGAGGACAGTTTAAGAGACCTCTGGGACAACGTTAGAAACACCAACATTTGCATTAGAGGGGTCCCAGAGGAGAAGAGAGAGAGAAAGGGCCATAAAAACTATTTGAAGAGATAATAGCTGAAAACTACCCTAAAATGGGAAAGGAAACAGTTAACCAAGCCCAGGAAGTGCAGAGAGTCCCATACAGGATAAACCCAAGAAAGAACATGTCAAGACACATATTAATCAAACTGACAAAAATTAAAGACAAAGAGAAAATATTAAAAGCAACAAAGGAAGAGCAACAGGTAACATACAAGGGAATCTCCATAAGGTTTTCAGCTGATTTTTTAGCCAAAACTCCGCAGGCCAGAAGGGAGTGGCATAATATATTTAAAGTGATGAAAAGGGAAAACCTACAAACTAGAATACTCTACCCAGCAAGGCTCTTGTTCAGATTTGACAGAGAAATCAAAAGCCTTGCAGACAAGCAAAAGCTAAGAGAATTCAGCACCACCAAACCAGGTTTACAACAAAGCTAAAGGAACTTCTCTGGGCAGAAAAGAAAAGACCATAACTAGAAACAAGAAAATTACAAATGGAAAAACTCACCAGTAAAGGTAAGCATACATTAAAGGCAGGAAATCATCCATACACAAATATGATATCAAAACCACTAATCATGAGAAGAGAAGAGTACAAATGCAGGATATTGGAAACGCATTTGAAATCAAAAGACCAGCAACTTAAAACAATCTTGTATATGTATAGTCTGCTATATCAAAACGTCATGATAGGGACTTCCCTGGTGGTCCAGTGGTTGGGACTCTGCCTTCCAATGTGGGGGGTGTGGGTTTGGTCCCTAGTGGGAGAACTGGGATCCCACATACCTCACGGCCAAAGGGCCAAGGCATAGAAGAGACAGTGTTGTGACATATTCAATGAAGGCTTTAGAAATGGTCCACATCAAAAAAAAAAATCTTTAAAAACAAAAATAACCTCCTGATAACCGCAAACTGAAAATCTACAATAGACACACACACAAAAAAGAAAAAGGAATCCAAACAGAGCACTAAAGTGAGTTATCAAATCACAAGAGAAGTGAACAAAAGACTAAGGAGGAAAAAAAGACCTACAAAAACAAATCCAAAACAATTAACAAAATGGCAATGAGAACATACATATCAATAAATACCTTAAACATATATGGATTAAATGCTCCAAGCAAAATACATAGAATGGCTGAATGGATACAAAAACAAGACCCGTATATATGCTGTCTACAAAAGACACACTTCAGATCTAGAGACACATACAGACTGAAAGTGAGGGGATGGAAAAAGATATTCCATGCAAATGGAAATCAAAAGAGAGCTGGAGTAGCAATACTCATATCAGACAACATAGACTTTAAAATAAAGAATGTTACAAGAGACAAGGAAGGACACTACATAATGATCAAGGGATCAATCCAAGAAGGAGCTATAACAATTGTAAATATATATCCACCCAACATAGGAGCACCCCAATACATAAGGCAAATGTTAACAGCCATAAAAGGAGAAATTGACAGTAACACAATAATAGTAGGGGACTTTAACATCATACTTACATCAATGGACAGATCATCCAGACAGAAAATCAATAATGAAACACAGGCCTCAAATGTCACATTAGACCAGATAGGCTTAATTGATATTTATAGAGCATTCCATCCAAAAGCAACAGAATAAACCTTCTCAAGTGCACATGGAACATTCTCCAGGATAGATCACATGCTGAGCCACAAAGACAGCCTCGGTAAATTTAAGAAAATTGAAATCATATCAAGCATCTTTTCTGACCACAACACTACGAGATTAGAAATCAACTACAAGAAAAAAACTGTAAAGAACAAAAACACATGGAGGCTAAACAGTATGCTACTAAACAGCCAATGGATCACTGAGGAAATCAAAAATACCTAGAGC